TACACGACGCTCTTCCGATCTCCCCAAAACCCCAAAACCCCATCGTTAGCAAATAAGTGGTATTATTTATAATTTCAATCGATAAAAATAAAATGCAAACATCAGGCCAGACACCTAAAAAGTACATTATATAAACTTTTAATCATTAGTGAGTCCTCGAATATACTATCAGGAGGAAAATCGATATTTGGTAATTCAATAGGCAACTATGGTTCAGGCAAGGGAGTCAAGAAATCTTCCAAGATTATTGAGGAAAAAGATAAGAAAATTCTAGAGCTCGAAAGAGAAAAGGCAAATACCTAAGAATCCCTCATCAATTTCTATTTTCATGTAACCCACAAAATATCTCTTATTAAGTATTAGCTGAACCCCGGAATTCTGCCAACTGAGCAAGATAGAGAAAAGAATAGATTGCTTAAATAAGCTACATTTATCCTAGTTGACTATATTAGAGGTATGGTCCATCAAATTGAGAGAGACAATGAGGAATGGAAGTTAAAAATACAAAAAAAAGAACCATTTTTCCCAATGAATGAGAAGGAATAGAACGCTCTAGATTACCTAAAATCTCCTTAAAATACTAATGCATTTGACTATTAGGTCTCTCACGAAATCTAAATAGATAAAGATGATTTCTTCCTTCAGATGCGATAAAAAATTGATGCTCTGAGGAATGAAAAGCGTAGACTTATTATTGAAATTGAGAGGACAGTCAAAGAGAATTTAGAATTAAACAGGCAGAAGAATAAAATCATAGATACCACTAAATCCATAATAGATGATATTAAAGCTAGCAATGATAACTTAATGGATATGCTGAGCAACAAGCAAATTGAAGTTGATGGGCTTAAGAAGGATTTAACTGATAAGAATATTTAAGTCACAAAACTCAAAGAAAAAGTCTCAGAATACTAAAAATTGCAAGAAAAATTTAAAATGTTAGAGCACAAATATGTGATGGATATAAATTCAGAAAAGTAGATTCATGAGAAGGAAATGAAATTTCTTAATAGAGAAATAAACAATAAATAGAAATATGCCATTGTTTGCGCTTAGTATGAGGAAAAGATCAAATTTTAAGAGCAAGAAATGGTATCTTATAAAGAAAAGCTGAAATCTCTAATGGGTTAAAATGCAGAGTCCAATAAATTCTCTGAAATACACGACAAGCAAGCGAAATTAATTGAAAGTCTTACCAAATAATGCTCTATACTTACAATGAAACTAGCTAACAAGAAATCAAGCATTCTATTTTTAAGATAAGAAAATTAAAAGCAATTTGAGTAGTTGAAGAAACTTTAAAAATCAACAAATGGGAAGGAGTCTGCTTAGAAGTTAGAGAGGACAAACTTAAACAGAGAAGTAGAGACGAATCCTTCTTTACTCAAGTAGTATAGAAAAATGATTGAAGAAAGAGATATTATTGTAATTTACTTTCTAGCAATTTATTTCTTATAGATTAAAGAAATGACTAAGAAGTTCAAGAAGATGAACTTGAATGATAAGCATTTGTATGTAAAGCACTAGCAGTTGGAGCACTAGAAAGAAGAATATGAGAAGCTTATACGATAACACAAACTAAAGCAAAATAATTAGCCCATAAATTTAGATGAAAGCGTTTCAGATTCATCATTAGATGAATATAATCACAGTCCAAGTATCTTCAATAAAAACCTACATTCTAGAAAAGATGATAACAAAGAAGATTCATAAGAATAAAATCAATTCTACACTGTTAAGAGTATGGACTCTCTTTACAAAGAAAATTTACCCTCGCTCGGTCTAAGTCAAAATGGCAAGAGCAAGTTCCTATCGCCGAAGAACTCTGGAGGTCCAAACACTATGACTACTGGCTAGAAAATGGCTGCATAGTATTTATCAAAGAATGGAGTCAACTAAAGTTAATTAAGCAATAAAACCTCTTAGGAGATGAGAAAAAGTTCATCATAGTTTTTCAATACTAGAACGGCTGCTGATAAGAAATAACTTTGACTAGAATTCTTAATTTCTTAAAATATTTTAATCACATTTTGATTAATCAAATTATTTTTAATGATAAGATTTAGGAAATTAAAAGTTGAATCTTGTGTAATCAGAATAACTTCTAGAAGTATAGAATAATACCTCAATGCTCTTAAATCAAATGACTATCTTGCTATCAGTTTGCTTCTCCTGACCCCTAATGTTCACTGTGGCTTTGAACTTTTTCTCATGATTAAGTATCTTTCCATGTACTTAGTTCAATAATGATACAATTTTGTCTTTTTATTCTGACTGCTGTTCTGAATCTAAAATATTATTTGCTATAATTTTTACTTTCAACTCTAGTTGTGGTATTGTTAAGATTTTTCTTTTGGTAGTATTCATTTTTTCTTTTTAAAAAGTTTTTCTTAGCTTCTTCAAGCTTATCGGTCTTTCTGTTATCACTGTAATCCATCTAGGAATCATTCATCAACTGGGATGTATCTTAAAACGGTTCATACTCATTATTCTTGATGAAGTTCATATTAATTTAATCACTAAATGGATTATTATAGATTCCATTGACTTTTCTCTTTGCACTTCTGTAATTCATATTATCATTGCTCATTAATGCAGCCATATTAATTCTAGGATTGAAGGTTTAATTGACAATATAATTACTCTTGAGTTTCATTCTAATTGATAGTTGCTTACGATCTATTTCGTGAAGATTTTATGTTGGCACTGTTTTTAATCAAGGCAATCTCTATAATTATATTTTAATCAATACAGTAGATTAATACCTTCTGGACGCACGTTATTGTCCTTGCTGACTAGTGTAAACCTTTTGATATCATGCGGGACTTAGCTTGAATTCATATAGCTATTTTAAAATTCCTCATTATTTCTAAGAGTATTTTGAATTTTGAGTTAATTCTTCTCTGCTATAAACTACCCCGCTTTTCTAGTTGAAATTAAACCTTCTTGCAAGGTCTTAGAATCTATTTGTTAATCTAATTTAACTTATGATTTAATTTCAGGGAACGAAAGATCAATGTTACTATCCATATATGGGAGTCTTGAATCTTTGTCATAATACCTCTTTGTATAACGTTCTTTTGAAAGATTCAACAATATCTTATGATTTCCTACAGCCAGAAATGGTGATGATTATTGTCCATTTGCTCCATTCTTAGGATTAAACAACGCATATGGTGGTAGACTAACAGATGTATTTGGGTCGATAGTTCTATAGCTACTTTTATTTAACATATCACTCTTTATTTCATATTAGCTCCTCAAAGTGTGGTTATTATTTTAGGTGCTAAAGATTGAGGGATCATGAATCTTATCGTACTTTAGATCGTAGATCAATTTGCCGTTTTATTAATTTTTAGATTAGCTTTGATCAACTAATGGTTGATTTCTTTCTGGCTAGTTAATCGTTTTAAGCTATGAGAGTGGATTGGATTTGTATCTATTCGTAGGTGAGAGTAGTTTAGAATCGATTTCTTAAACAATATCATCTTTCTTAACCATAATATTTTATTTTCCCGTGTTAGTCTGATCTATTATATCGCCTGTTGTCTATTGAAGGTCACTTTCAAGCTCATTTAAAGAAATGGAGTTAATGATACCCATGTTGATCCCTCTTTTTAGTGAACTAAATTAGTCAGCCGATAAAACAAATAATTTACACAAGCTTTCCAGTACCTTCTTTTTATACTCTCTATACCCAAGCTTTATGTCCTTCTTGAACAGTTATTGGAAAAGGTGATGCTCTCTATTTTGACATATACAATAAAATATAAATAAAATGTAGTTAATTATTTGCAAGTTGAAAATTTTTATAAACCTAAAAAATCCTTATCTCACGGGGTTTTGGGGTTTTGGGGTTTTGGGGTTTTGGGG